AGCTTACTATGCCATCCGCTTCAACTTCAGGGTATCCAACAACGAAGCCGAGTATGAGGCCCTCCTCAGCGGTCTCAGACTCGCAGTCGGCCTCAAGGCCAAGCACCTCAAAATCAAGTGCGACTCCAAACTGGTGGTGGGCCAGGTGGAGGGATCGTACGAAGCAAAGGAGGGACGGATGCGGCAGTACAAACAGGCAGCAGAGGAGTTACTGAAAGCGTTTGAAACCCACGAGATCACTCAGATCCCAAGGGCCGAGAACGCCGAAGCCGACATCCTCTCCAAACTCAGCTCAGACACCCCGGAGCACATCTCCCGGTTGGCCAAGATCGAGGAGTTGAGCATGTCCAGCATCCATGCCAGCCTCGTCTTGTGCGTCCAACAGCGACCAAAGGACTGGATCTCCGACATCGTCACCTTCATCACGACGGGGGAGCTGCCCCCGGACGAGGAGAGGGCCAAACTTGCCAAACTTAGGGCCCCAAGCTACGCCATTGAAGATGTCAAACTCTACAAACGATCCTATAATGGCACTCTCCTCCGATGCCTGCACCAGGATGAGGCCGACCTCGCCATGGAAGAAGTTCATTGTGGCGTCTGCTCCTCGCACCGGGGCCCCTTCAGCATGTCCCGACGTCTCGTCATCCAGGGCTTCCTCTGGCCGACGATGGCGTGAGACTGTGCGGACCTAGCCAGGAAGTGCACCACGTGCCAGGTGCTCCAGAAGGCCCCTGGTCGGCCAGCCATCAACTACGCCCCCGTCAGCACCGCAATTCCATTCTCTAGATAGGGGATTGACCTGGTCGGCCCCCTGCCCAGAGCCGCCGGGAATAACTGCTACATCATCGTCGCCGTCGACTACTTCACCAAGTGGCTCGAGGCGGAACCCCTGGTCAGCATCACGGGGGCCAAATGCCAAAAATTTGTTTACAAGAACATCATCACACGCTTCGGCGTCCCTCAGGAGATTATATCAGACAACGGCACCCAATTCGAGGCAGTCCCTTTCCAGGAGCTCCTCCGGGAGTTTGGGTGAGGCATCGTCTCTCCTCCGTTGCCTACCCTCAGGGCAATGGGCAGGTCGAGAACGCCAACAGAACAATCATGGAGGGGCTGAAGAAGAAACTCCAGGCCGCAGGAGGTAGTTGGGTCGACGAGCTCCCCAACATCCTGTGGTGCTACAGAACCACGTCGAGGAGGGCGACAGGTGAAACGCCTTTCGCCCTATGCTACGGCTTTGAGGCAAAGGCGCCCACGGAAGTTGCCATCCCCAGCCGACGGGTGGAACAATACGAGCCTGATGCCAACGAAGAAAACATGAAGATTGACATGCACCTGGTTGACGAGAGGCGTGAGCAAGCTTACGTCCGAGCAGAGAACTACCGGCGTCAAGTAAAATCATACTATGACGCCAAGGCACGTTCCCGGGAATTTCAGGTGGGGGACTACGTCCTCCGCCGAAGGGAAGCAAGCCAGCCGACAGAGAGTGGTAAGCTAGCATTGAAGTACGAAAGGCCCTACATCGTCAGTGCCGTGGTCAAACCCGGCACCTACAAGCTTAAACGCCCGAATGGGTCCAATGTACCACGAACGTGGAATGTACACCATTTGGTGAAGTTTTATCAGTAATCCGAAGGAGGTGCAGACGGTGAAGCCCTCACCCCTTAACGGGTTACTGATTGAACACCACCCTCGGCCTCGAGCCACTTATGAATAAAATCATGTTCCTCTTGATTTTTTCCCTGGAATTTAAAGTGAAAACATTAGCAGGTGCCCTCATCGGCCACCTTAGAGCGAAAGGCTCAGGCATGGCCGACGGGGCCCCTTGCATTTGCAGCCTACGATCGACAAGATCAGGCGTTCCATTGTATTTTGTATCAGCGAAGGGCTCATGCCTAGCTGAGAGAGCACATCGTCCTGGCCCCGTAAGCCTAGAAGTGAAACGCTCGGGTATGGCCGACGATGTCCCTAGGACGAGGGGCCCGCAAACGGCCCACGTCTTGAAACAAGAGGCTCACCGCGTCGTCCACGCGCCAGATCGCAGGACGACAGGCCTGAAATCATGGCCGAGGTGACAAAATCCCAAAACTCAGGGATGGGCAACGTCAGCCGTTGGAAACCGACCAAAAGTCTAGCCCAAAAATCACACTGCGCCTCGTCGGCCAAATGAACATAACATCATCAGCAACGGCCAACTGGCCACCTAAGGCAAGGACACTCATCGTCCTCCTCCACAGTTAATCATAATGGGCTCCTCGGCCAAGAACACGAAAGCCAATCAGCGACGGCCAAGAGGAGTGCGCAAACACCCTCATCGGCCACCCAGAGGAAAGGACGCCATCGTCCTCGAAGCAAGGATCAACCTCAACGGCCTCATCGGCCCAAAAGGTAAACTTCAACCATCAACACCCAAGAAAGGGAAAGCGCGCCTTCAACGGCCACCATTGAAGCAGGACACTCATCATCCCAAACGAACACATCAAGTAAACAACGGCCTCCCCGTCCACAGCGAGGAGCAGGTAACGGTCAAAGCACAGAACAGGATCACCAAAATGGAAACAACACCAACGCCGCAACAGCTAACGCCTGGGAATGCCCGCATCAGCCAAAAGCACCAAAGCAGGGGAATCTACTCTCCTTCACTTCGTCTACGTCTCAGCTTAGAGAGTGGGGGACTCCTGATGGAGTATATGGGTCTGAGCCCCCGGACCCACATACTCAGAAGAACAGAAAGCACAAGACACCGAGTGGCGCCCACGTCGGCCAAGGGACCCCCGTCGGCCGAGAAGGTGCCAACTCAGATTATGGTCCTGAAGCCAAGGAACCCGGGTGCCCTCGTCGGCCGTGCCCTCGTCGGCCGTGCCCTCGTCGGCCACGCCCTCGTCGGCCACGAAGACCTCACAGAACCGAATTTTATACTTACTCATTTGTGCAGCCCATTAGTGGCTTTGTATTCGGCCCAGTAGCGGTCCAGTTGTAAATGGGCCTCCCAAGCCCAAGGCTTGGGAGCCCAGCCCGTATTTTCTCTATGAATACTCCCCTTGGGAGTAGTTATGGGGTGACAAATTCATTTTATTGAAGCATATTATTGCACTTCTCTCTCTAGCTCTCACTTCTCTCTAGATATACTCTATCACTACTAGTTCTTTCTGTCTACCATAGACAAAAAAAATATTCATGAAGATTTTGGGTGACCAATAGCGGTACAGTTGTAAATGGGCCTCCCAAGCCCAAGGCTTGGGAGCCCAACCCGTATTTTTCCTATAAATACTTCCTCTGGAGGTAGTTGTAGGGGTCACAAAATCATTCTATTGAAGCATTTACTTGCACTTCTCTCTCTAGCTCTCACTTCTCTCTAGATATATACTCTATCAGTGAATATACAACTTAAATATTCCGTACTTAATTAATTAAAATATTAAAAAACTAAACCAACTACACGAGAAGATAAAAAAGATATTGGTGGACTTGGGATTTGGGAATGTACTGGTCTCTCTGGTCATTTGCTTCAACAACAGACTGAGGGAAGGCGAGACCGGTAACTTCTATTGCTTCAATGCCTGAATGAGGGAGAGCGAGACCAGCGACATTTGCTTCCTGGAGTTCTACAATTCGTCTGCTTTGACTTTGTTGCTTGAGTTAGACGATGATGACGACAAAGTTTGTAAGATTAGCCCTAGAGTTCATTGTCTTAATGATAAATCCGAATAGAAGAGAGGACAATGGAAATACCTAATTGAAGCGGGTTGTAATGGTGGAGAAGCTGGAGATAGACAAGCTACTTAGACACCCTCCGCTATTGTGAGTGTCACACCATCGCTACTAGAGTTACAGTAGAAGATATTTGGAGGAGAAGAGAGATTAGAAGAATGACAACTTCATCAGATAAATAGATTTAAGGTTACACGTATATTTGCCAGGGAGTTTAGAAAATAAGTCCATTTTAAACTTTTAATCAAGTCCATCCATGAAATATTAATTCATGGCCGCCTATTCCGTAATTAAAAGGAGATATATGTATATGTTACGTATTATAATTTATAAATATATGTTTAAGTATAGTATGGCTCGCGAGCCACGAGCCAAGAATAATAGTGCTAAAAAATGGCTCGACACCTTACCGAGCTGGCTCGAGTTCGAACATGATCGAACTCGAGTCGAGCGGTTACTGAGCAATTCGAGAGCGGCTTGGTTCACGTGCACCCCTACTCCAGAGCGATTAGCTTCAGGAAACTTGAAGATTTTGAGTGCGGCAGGTTTCAGTTTGGTAGAAGGAGATGAGTAGAACGAAATACAGAGCGAGAGAGCGCAAGATCATATATGCATAGCGGACGAAATTCTAAAGATGGTGGATTTTTGTTCGGTAGAAGGAGACGAGAACGAAATACAGCGGGAGGGAGGGAGAGTGTGTAGCCGTAAATCAGTTTGTATTTAGAAGGGTAAAAGTGTCCAGCTACAAACGAGTTAGTAAGTATTTTGGAAGAGAAAAAGTCATATTTTTGCCCACTCAAGTCCTACAAGTAATATTGACGTCATTATTTCTTTTTCCATTTGCTAAAATAACTATGTTTTATGGGAGAAAAATGAAACTAACAAAACAAATCTTAATTTATCTCATTCTTTAATTAAGGTTGCAGCCAATTTTTGCAAATAAATTTGGGAGGAAGGAGTATGTAGGACTAAATCATCATGGTAGAAAAAATGGGAAAGTTCCTGAAATAGGACTAAAACAGTTTCAAAATTCCAAATTAGGACTGTCATGTTTTTTATTCTCAAAATATGACTAATTACTGTCATGTTTAGAAAATACTGACATGTTTGAAGTCTGGTACTGCCAAAACATGACAGTAATTAGTCCTATTTTGAGAATAAAAATATGACAATCCTATTTTGGATTTTTCAAAATTTTTTAGTCTTATTTCGGATAATATCTCGAAAAATAAGTCTGATTGTGGTTTCAACTTTCAATATACATGCACTATTCTACTAGTGTTGTTGAACCGGGTCTGTTTTGGTAATGCTGAACCGTATGGTTCAAGAATCATTTTGCGGAGTTCTGACGGATTACAGCAGTGTTAAACGGATGTTTTCTATGCCCAGTGCATGCTGGAACAGAAGCTCTATTAATACGTTTCAAAGATCACATCCAAGCACGACAGTATTCATTCACGATGATTCAATTGGTTTCCATCTCTAAGTATTGGGCGGCATAGAGAATCAGAAGATGCAAGGAACGTACTAAAACCCTAACCCTAGCTGCACAAAACCCTTCATTACTTTGTTTGGGGGCATCGGAGATGATGGATGTGTCACCTGAAAGCAACCCTCAAGAGCCCGAGGTGTTGCGCAAACTCACAGCAACTGGCGGTCCTTTATCTACTTCAATCGCGAAGCTCTCTGGCTCTTCAAGAGGCATACCTTCGGAAAAGGACTTCCATTTCTACAATAATTTCCCCGAATTTAAGTCCCCAGTCAAAAAAATCGACCAGAAATCGAAGGAGATTCTCGAGAAGGTAGGGACGCTGTCAGAATTATGGGGGAGAGCGATTCCACTGCCAGAAGATTCTGACGATGAGTATGACTGGCTGGTGAATGTTAACGACGATGTGCTTGAGAGGCTTGACACTTCGCTTGACGAGTTCCAGACTGCACGCAAGGCAGTGGAGGGAAATGGAGTGAAAGTTGAGTCAGATGATGGGTTTCAGTTAGTACTGGGTCGGAAAAACAAGAAAGCAGCAAATGCTAGTGGCTCTGCCAACCGCATGGCCGATAGAAGGGAAGAGAAGGTGGCGGATGGGGTGAAGGTGGCTACAAAACCCAAGCCAAAGGTGCCATTTCATGTACCCACTATTCGTAGGCCACAGGATGAGTATAAGATAATCGTCAACAACGCTAACTTGCCTTTCGAGCATGTGTGGCTGCAAAAGAGTGAGGATGGTTCCAGGTTCATGCATCCCCTGGTCAGTGTTTTTTAATTTCTTGGCCACTCTTTTACTAGGACTTGTCTGTTTATTTGAGGTAATATAAAACAACATGCAATATTGTCGCTAATTAGTCATACATCTTCGCACATTTTGAGTTCGAACATAGAACATTGCACTTTTTTTAATGCGGTTATTGCTATATATGCTTTCTGTATGTGCTACCGAACTTACTTTTCGTTGGGACAAGTATTTCTGGTCAGCAACTTCCACACATGGGGTTCTATTTACTTGTTTTAGTTGGTTATGATGACATTCATCAACAGAAACCTATCACTCATTAATGATCATGGATTAGCTATTGTTTTAGACGAATGAAAATAAATAAATAAATCAATGATGTGAGTGTCGTGTGTGAGTACGCCTGTGTATGTATTGTATGTGTGTATAAGACAACTTCTTTCCTGTGATTCCCTTGGCCTTGTTCATTATTTTAAAAAGGGTCGTGAATAAATAGTCTCGATTTACAATTTGACTTTATTCATATTTATATCAAACTTTAGGCTACATTTGCCGCCTCCTATTCCAATGCTTCTTCTCTTTTTGGGCTGTCAAATTATTGAAGCATTCGGTTCAGCAAGTGTAGCAGATTTGTCTTGGATGAGACTTGAAATGATACCATGACTCTAATTTGGTGGCATTTAAATTCTAACAATCTGGTAATGTTAATCTTAAAAATATGTTTGGTGAGTGCCTCAATGCGTCTGGGTATGCTTGGTTCTAACTTATCTACTGGAACAAGTATTTTGACTTAAGTAATATTTAAAATCTAGATTAATAGTCAAACCCATATACGCTGTTTTGACCTTAGTAAAATTTAATTACTTAAAAAGCACCCATTCAATTTCTTAATCTGAATTATATATTGCATTATTACTTCAACTATGTAGGTGACACATACACTCTGATTTTTCCTTGTCACTTTGGTTGAGTTACAAAGTACGTTATACTTGTCTGGATGAATTATATCCTTCAAGATTGCATGCTTAGCACCAGTCTGCTGAGGCTTTGTTACTTCACATGTTTTTTTTTTCATTATATAAAAGTATAAGTTGGATGAATTATGAATTACATTGCTTATCATTGCTTGTTATGCTTATTCAGGAGACGCTTTCTGTCATGGACTTTGTTGAGTGTGCTGGCTCTATAGAGCCCGCTGAACCTCCTCCTCTAGAGAAAACTCCATTTAAATATGTGGAACAGCTCAAAGATCTGAAGCAGCTTGCTGCCAAGCTTCGTGGAGTGGATGAATTTGCGGTACATTTTGACTGGAGTTTATTTTGATGCTTACTACAAGTTTATTTATTTGTTACTTACTTTTTTGTCGTACTTGAAGAAATGTCAGTAACTCAGTAAATCAGTAATGTTTTACAACATTTCTTGTGGCTGGAAGTGGTTATTGCTGTTTTAAAGGGTTGGGTTTCATATATCCCTAGTTGTCGTGACGTTGCACAGGCGCTGGACTAGTCTTCCTGGCGGTGTAGGAGACAGACCATGTTAACTCTACTCGCCTGAAGCCTCCAAGATGTCCTGAGGTGTCAACTAAGCATCGTCCAGTCGCCATAGCGATGTCAGACTTTCTTTAAAACATAATTATTAGTTATAAAACCAAGCCGCCAGCCAGAACCATATGCGTCCTTCAAGCCGTCTGCCAGGTCTCTGTCACAATTCGCCTCGTCTTTTCTTGCTTATTCTCCTGTTTTTTAAGGCCACCAGTTTTTTGGATTCCTTTTGCTCATTTAGACAGTTGGAGTGTTGGACTCTACAGTTAAGTGCTTCTATTTTTAGACTGTTGCATGTACATTAAACTTCTACAACTCTTGCATGACTTTATATACTGCTGGAGTCCACTTTTCAAATATTTCAATCTTGTTAGTAAATTCCGCCTCTTGAATTATATTATCACTTACATTAAGTTGAACTTCTTTTGAGGAAATTTGTGTTGAACATTTATTGTAGACAAATAATTAATAATTAAATTGTCTGAACTCCGATTTTTCTCAGTTTTTTCTGTTTATTTTGTTTCAGATTTTTACTTTTTTCATTTTATTTGTTATATTTTTTTTATTCTTTTAATATATTTATATATTACATATGACGCGACTTGGCGATAAACCGCGGTGACAACCTTGCATATATCAGGCATGTATTACACAGTTGTAGTGTTAGACTAGCTCTCTCCACCTCAAACATTCAATGTGTTCCGATTTAAAATTAAAATCCATTCTTGTCTGGATCTTTCTAGTCTGGTATCTTTTGAATGTTTATAGTCTTGGTTGGATTTGAATATTCCCTGTGTGGTCTGAATGTTTACGTATGAGTATGAATGATAATCTAATTAAAATAAGAATAAAGTAATAAGAAAAATAAATAAATAAAGTGAACAATGCCTCAACTTAGTGGGATAGAAAGAGTCAAAGAGATATAGCCATATAGGAATTTGCCCCCCCCCCCGTGGTTCATTTTGGTTCTATGAGAATTAAACAAATAATTGTCGCTTCTTTGAAGGGCATCGATTTTCTTTTAATATTGATAAAAGTTAACTGCTTGCATGCCTTTCGTTTTGGACTCAAAAGAACAGATTCGTCTTAGTTGCCCATTAAGCAATGATTTATTAATTTAATTAGGCTGCTCAGGCTTTAGTAGTGTTATCTTAGATGGTTTGTTCTTCCTTTAATTTCTTATCTTTAAATGCATTGCACCCTGGGATTCTGGGTAGTTCTCTGTTACGGATGCTTTCTGGCTCCATCAATACTGCCGCCGACAGGACCGAGCCCAGGGTAGACAGGCCCGTCAGCAGATGGTGACCACAGATCTATTGAAGAACAAAGTGGCTGAATGGAGTAGGCTGGCTTAAGGGTGTGGTTTGCATTTGGAGCTCTGCAGATTAGCCACCGTCCCGTTCTTTGGCCGCCACCACCCGCCCAGGACGAAAGTCTCCGGCGTCCGCTGTGGAGGGCTGTAATGGCCGGACGCTGGGTTGGGCTGGTTGTAGTGGGATTCTACAGGTGGTGTGCGGTGCCCAGGATACCCGCAACTGCACGGATTGGGTCCTGGGCTCCACGGGGGGCTTGACGGAGTCGGATTGACCACCTTACCGGAGTTTTGGGCTTGGATTTGGTCTCGCCGGGGTTTTCGTTGGCTTCTTGTATGTTTTCCGGCTACTGTTGATTCGCCGTTCTAAGTCCTGTACCTTTCCCGCCGGGGGTCGCCGGGGCTCGACGGGGGTGTGGGATGGAGAGTGGGGCTACGGTTTGACAGCTCTCCGGCTTGGGTTCGTTGACCTCCATTTCCCGGCCACCGTACTGTTTAGCCGACGCCGGAGCTAGATGGGGTGGGTGGGGGTGGGGGTGGGGGGGTCCGATGGGGCAGGCTGGACATACCTGCGGCGCTGGAGCATTGCGATGATGGGCGGGAGACTGCTGGGCGGGTCTGTGGCTAACCCTAGCCCGCTAGTGGTTTGGGCTGGGCCGGCGCTCCTGTTGCTGCTTGGATTTTGGACTGCTACGCTGGGCCTCTCCTGTTTATTACTTGGTTGGATGCTGTTTTGCTTCTCTGGGCTGCAGACTTGGAGGGCAGGCGGATGTTTTGAGGCAGAAAGGAGATATGAGCCTTCACGGGCCTATTAACCTGGAAGTTGGGGGTTTTGTTGGACTTTTATTGGACTGCCTACCTGGGGACTTTGATGCTTCCGGGCAGCTACTGGGCCGCTGGAGCAAGCTTTTTGGAGGATGGGGCTTCATTGCATCGGATCCCTTGGGCTTCGTGGACGGCGGGCAGATTTGTATTCTGTGTTGGTTGGATTTTTGTGATATGAGCCGGGGCCTGTCCCGTGCCGTTTTGTTATCCAAAAAACTCTCTCTCCCCTCCCCCGCCTAGCGCGGGGGGCGGGGGGCGGATACGGTATTTACTATTTTAGGTTAGCTCGCTAGCTTAGATAGTTATTTTTGATCTTTTTGATGCATTTTACTTATGCTATTTTCTGGATATATATACTTACATTTTATCCAAAAAAAAAGAACAAAGTGGCTGAAAGTTAGAAGAGAGACACACTTATGAGACTATTATTTATTAGTATTCCTATTACAATTTGGACTACTAGTACTCCTAATTCCTAATTAGGACTAATGGTATTCCTAAAAATTAGGACTAACAGTACTCTTATTACAATTACGACTAATAGTATTCCTAATAGTATATCTCTTCCAAATGAAACTTTTGTAATAGCTCCTGTATAAGGGTCATGACTATTACTCAATAAAGCACTTTTGGAAGAATTAAATTGTGTGTCTTGACTAGGTCGGGCACCAAATTAAATCCAACACGAAAATTTAATGTTATCTGTCATTAAATCATAGATTCCTTTCCAGCGGCCTACTTTCCTTCTGGTTCCCAGGCTCATCCTCCTCGCCAAATGAAGTCTTTAATGCTAGTACTCAACATACTCATGGAGTCATGGGCACACCTTTCAATAAACTTATTTCTTTAAAATAAGTGATATCCATATTTGCGAACGCTAGAGGCAAATCTTTACATTTGGAGATCTGTTGTTGGTAAAAAACAACAGTAGCTGGTAGAGGTAGGATATGACAACAAGATCAACAACAACATCCAAGCCTTAATCCCAAAAGAATTTGGGGTCGGCTAACATGAATCGATCTATAATATCGATGCCAAATGAATGCATTGCAAACTTTAAGTTTACTTGTCTACTTGTCATCTTGAACCTGGTTCTACACTTTCACTTCCTTTCTTGTGGACTTGATTTTTGATGCGTTTTATATTTAATAGCGTGCTCAGAGACTTAAGAGTGAGTATTATTTACATTTGATATATTTTATGATATGTCAATATGCCATTAACTTGTAAGTCATCAAGACCTTAAACGAGTGACTAGTAGGCCTGTCATTACTAGTCTGCATGTTAGCTTGTGTTGTTCAAATTATATGGTAATCATGCCTTTGTTTGGATTAATCCTTTACCTGGAAAGATGGTTTCTGTTGAAAGTTGTTAGGACTAAATTAGTATGTGGTTGAGTATTATAGTCATCTCTCTTTTTATTTAATCGACTAGGACCCTATCATGTAAAGTCTGTATAATAGACTCTTGACCCTAATAGTAAACTACCACTAAAAGATATTTATATAACTAAGTTTTAGACCTTTCTTTACCTGAATATAGTGCCTCATGCACTGCTTTGAACGATCATTGTCTGAGCTTTTTCTTGCAATCAACTTTGGTCCAGGTTGATTTGGAGCACAATCAATATAGATCATTTCAAGGAATGACATGCTTAATGCAAATATCAACCCGAAGTGAAGATTTTGTTGTAGACACACTGAAACTCCGTGTTTATGTTGGTCTATATCTAAGAGAAGTTTTCAAGGACCCAACCAAGAAAAAGGTAAGCATAGCATCTTTATTCTATTTCATTGGTGCTGCCACCGGAGACATAGTAGTGTTTTTACCTTCATATAACTAGGTGATGCATGGAGCGGATAGAGATATTGTGTGGCTTCAACGGGACTTTGGCATATATGTCTGCAATCTATTTGACACCGGTCAGGTATGTGCTTGATTTACACTTAATGGAGCCTGGTTTAGAGACGAGTTTGTTTTTCGGGTAACAACATTGAATAATATATCAATTAAATTTATTTTTTGCAAAGATGTTGAGAACATCTCATTCTCAGAGAAATTAAGATCGAAGATTTCATTCAGGACTCACTGAACTGTAGTTGGTATGTGGCCTGCTTGCCCACTTTATGTAGTCTGGTTTAGGGATGAGTTTAAAGGTTTTCGTCATGGCATTGAATAGATCAATAAAAATGAAGATGAGTGACATATGGTAAGTATTGCTACTTAAAATATGTTGGTACATAACAATTCGTTTATGCTTACCATCTCAACTGCCTTTTTGAAAAAGCTATCCATCTCAACATCCAAACAATTCTTGTATTCTCTCTCTCTCTCTAAAGTACCTTTTGAGACAGGAGGTGTCAGCATGAAACCCTTTTTCTTAAATATATGCAGCATATGTAAGTGTAACACCCTAGAGGCTTAACAGTTTCCATCCATCTTACAGTGTATCAACCTAGAGTGTGTCATTATAGGAGTCTTATTTTTTCTTTAAATACCTAGAGGCCACAAATGTCCTCTTATATGTGTATAACCATATAATAGTTACAACTTTGCTTTGTTCTTTCTACACTTGCTCTAATATTTGGGCTTCCTCAATGGGCAGCTACTGACTAGTACCATCTACTCCTACGATTCATAGACTCTTCAAACCATACCTATCAACTTTAGTTTCTTCTTTGTGCCATGGATTTAAATTGATAGTTTGAGCATTTTAGTTTATCCTTCCTAACAATAAAATACTCCGTCCCATAGAACATGGCCAAATTGACTTTTTTGGTCAGTGATGGTCATGTTTGACGAATGATATTTTTAATATGAAATTATTCAAAATATGAAAATTATATGGAAACATTTTTTTGTGTTAAAACTTAAAAATACTTTCATAAAGTATAAAGGGGCAGCCCGGTCACTTGAGTGTCCCCACAAGGTGAGGGTCCGGGGAAGTGCCCCACCACAAGGGTGAATAAGGAGCAAATCCCTTGTCATTTGGACAAGAACAAGAAGCTGCTCCCAAGACTTGAACCTATGACTTTTCAGTCACGCATCAACACCAACACCATAACTGTGCGCCAAGGCTCCCCTTCACTTTAATAAGAGTATAAAAGTTATAAATTTAACACAAATATAATAACTAAAATCATTGTTCAAAGTTTATTATCATTGACCAGAAAAGTTGATTTGGCCAAGTTTTGTGGGACGGGTGGAGTATGAATGATGCTTCTCTTTGATGATATTGTGGATTCATTATCATTTGAAATGCTAGGCCTCAAGAGTTTTGAAATTGGAGAGGAAGAGCCTGGAATATCTGCTGCTCCATTATTGTGGCGTTGAGGCAAAAAAAGAGTATGATCTAATTGTTATTTCCAAATTCCCTGAAAATTATGTGTTTAAATCTTACTCCTTTCATGTCCCATCCAAACCAATGAAAAGAAGCGTGTGAGCTCATAAACCAAAGGTTGAGAGTTATTGCCCTATAGCCAGGTTTACCCAAAGTGCACTCAATGGTTGCGGTTTAAGGTTTCTAGATATTCATAAAAACAATAAAAATAGTGGGAAGATTTTAGCTTTGAGAAGTCCCCCCATCCATCTCAGTATCTCCCAAACGAATTGATTAGAAATTTAGCAATTGTCACTAAGTGCAATCTTGTAAATTGATTTTCCTTCAATTTGCAGGTACCAGAATGCAGATTGGAGAATGCGCCCGCTTCCTACTGAGATGATGAGGTAGAGATCTTGTGTTTTTTCTCATAAGGATTTTGTAGTACTCCCGTCCCAAATTGTTTTGCAAAGTCAACATTTTTTGGTCAACCAATAAAAAAGTCAATGCTCCCTATCGATAATTAATTCCATTTTTAATAATTAAAATTTATATATTCAGAAACTATATTAAAATCTCTTCAAAGTTGTAAACTCCAAATTAGAATATTATTAAAAATTGACATCCTAATTAAGCAAATAAAATGAAATTGTTTGACCAAGAAAAGTCAAATTTGCAAATCAATTTGGGACGGAGGTAGTATTATTAGACGCTTTCATTCGTGTTATATCAATAAACTTTGTGGAAAGAATTGAGAGATTACCTACTCCGTTTGATTGAGACTGAGAAATTAACATTTCCTTGTTTGGTTAAAAATGATCATATGTTGATTCATGTTAGCCAATTCCAAACTCTGTTGGGAGTTGGGACCAAGGCTTGAACGTTGATATTTGGTAAAAAATGATATGTTAGATTATATTGATTGTTTTACATAAATACCTTGTATAACTATATACAATTAAACCACTTTCTTTGCACCAAAAGATTTAGGCTAAAGGATTATCTCCAAAGAACAGTGGGACTACGCAATGTGTTTGCTTGAGATTGTGATAATTTAATGAGAAATTTTCTTGAAGGTTAGAGTGCAATGTGCATGTTTGATAGACATAAATCTTTACCTCCTAGCTTCTGAATTATTTAAAGTCTCTGAAAGCTCTTAGTTGTATGCTTGGCTCAACAAATTTTAAGAGTTCTTTTAAAAAAATTAAGTTATTTTAGAAACTACTCCCATGGAGTAGTTTCCGAGAGAAAGATTGTAGCTTTTAGCATTTGTTAATCAGAGTAAGTTGTTAACTTTTTATACCAAACAAAACTAAATAAAGAAGTCAACTCTTATCGGACAACTATAACCTTTTTCCTTGTAAGATCTTTTCAGTCACCAAAAGCTAACAATTACTAAAATGCTCACATATGTATCTTTTTCAGTCGCCAACCAAAAGCTAGCAGTTATTATAAAGCTCACATAAGTATCTTTTCAACTACTTGTTCCAAACATACTTGGAGCATATTTGATTTATTTATTGACAGTCTGACACTTGTTACATTATAACAAACCTTGTATAAATGTATACAAATAGATATTCATACCAATTTGTTTAATTCAAATGTAAAAATTCATTCATTTCATTGTTATATTACGTCTAACTACCCGATCACTCACATTTGCGTTGCACTCTTTTATATTATTAATTTACAATATACAATCAGTTTACTAAAATGGTTGGAGATCAGCAATCGAAGAACATATAACTAATAAGGATGATAAAATGTGAAATTGACTTATGCACAAACAAATAATGGTGAAGTGTGTATCTTAATGACGTGAGAACATAATATCCTATTCAACAGTAATGTTCAAGAAAGATAATACCAACCATCTTTCTTGAACCAAGAATAATACAAAATTTGGAAATAATTTTTAATAATACTAACTATTTGAATTTATAACAAATGTGATACAGAGCAATTTTCCACTAAAAATTTAGTCATTTAACTCACCAATAATCAATATCAAAATATTAATTAATTGACCCTATTTCCAAATATCATTTATTTAATGACTTGATATGAGTTTTTGGTGTCTTAAATGATAGGATTTCTTGTCGAAAAGTGGTTCCATATTATTTTTGTTATGTATTCACAATTCCACATAGTTGGTATTATTAGAAGTCATTTCCAAAGTATGTATTTTTATTGGTTTATGTATGATAGTTGATATTATTTAAAGTTATTTTCCCTAAAATAGAATTCATCTGCATTCCTCTGCAAAAGGGGGGTGAACCAAAATTCATCTTTTGTCCTTGCTGATTTAGTTAAATAAATTGAATCTAATAATACTCATGTAGAAATGACCTTGTAATAATGGAAGGTGCACATAGCACTTTACTATTAAAGTTAAAGTGTATGTTCACATGTCTTCCCAAAATAAAAATTCTGATTCAACTGAATTCTCCTTATCTGAACTCCTACAATATTGTATAGTGTGGAGGCTTTTTTTCCACATAACGTGAATCGTTTACATGTGTGTTGGTTGGTTATCTTTATGATGCTATAATTTAATTTCTTGAGATACCAGACTGAGTTTGATATTTTATGCTTCATTTTGTAGATATGCACGAGAAGACACACACTTTCTGTTATATATTTATGATGTAATGAGAATGGAATTGCTTGAGCTACCCAATGACCCTGATTCTTCTGATTCTCCTATGGTAGAGGTAAGAGCATTATGCTGATAGATAAATATAAGGAAATTACCCTAAATAGGAGTAAATGAGGTTTGGAATTCCAAAATAGGACTATTATGTTTTTCTTTCCGAAATAGGAGTTGTTACTGCCATATATGAAAAATACTGCCATGATTGAAAAATAATGTCATTAATTATAATAAATACTGCCATATAAAATGCACTGTACTGCAACTAATTGGCAGTCACGCCTACAAGATGATAGTAAATACTGACATGTTAGTCCTATTTCGGGAATAAAAACATAGTAGTCCTATTTTAGAATTCGAAACCCCATTTACTCCTATTTTGGGAAATCTCCCATAAATATAATGGAATAATGAAATTAGCTGAAGTAAAAAATTTCTCCCTACAAGATGTGATTGCTTTATCGCATTTTAATCTTGTGAGTCGTTTGCTTTGCTGATTAGTGATGCCTGCAGGTATACAAGCGCAGCTATGATATATGTATGCAGCTGTATGAAAAAGAACTTTTAACTGATAGTTCATATCTCCACATATATGGGTATGGGGTATCTCCTTCTCAGACAGCTTAATTACATTCAGTTCTTTTCTCTAGTGTAGTTTTGTTGTTCCTTGTTTATGCTACATTTGCTAAGATACTTAGACTAGCCTTTTGAAATGCATCTGCAGGTTGCACGGAGCTGGGCTGAATGCTCAACAGCTTGCCGTTGTTGCAGTAAGTAACTTTTTCACTTTGTAGTTCATCCATAGTCTACACACATAATCTGACAGCTAAGATCATTAACGAAGTTACAAAACATGCTATCAAAATATGGGCTCCTTTATTGCGCACAAAGGAATGAAGGGGTATGCAAGTAAATTCCATGGGAAAAGAACCGGTAGAAACTTAAATTCCATTGTTTAGTTGGCAGGAATAATGAACAAATTTGTGAGAATGTATGAGGGAATAATGATGTTAAAGGTAATTGTAGTGTATTTTCGTCGTTCATGTCTTTCTTATTCCCAAATGGAAAGGGAAAGGAAATACTAGGGTGGAGCGTAAGAAGTTTTACTTTTACTTTATATGCAGGAATATGAGTCCTTATGGAAACTTCTCTCTATCGAAAAACCTACTAGAACTTCTCTGAAGTGAGAATTAGGATGGAAAAGAAAGAGTTCCTTAAAACAGGCTTTAATATGATACTATTGCTAAGTTGCTAACTACTTTTATTTCATATGATTCATGATTTTAAGGGACTATGTGAGTGGAGGGATACTATTGCCCGTGCAGAAGATGAAAGTACGGGCTATGTTTTGCCAAACAGAGCGCTGGTTGAAATTGGTTTGTCCTGGACTCTTTTCTACCTTCACTTTCTGTCAAAGTTGTCGTGGCGCATGGCGATTGCCATGGCTCCAAGGCATTTTTTATGGCGCATGGCGATGGCGATTGCACATATACCAATGGCGCACAAGGCGCATATGGAGCTATGGCGATGATCACTTTTTCATGGCGATGGTGCATATGGCGTGCGCCATATCTTGCCATTGACTTCTATGCTTTCTGTCATGTGTTATGGCTCATAACTTGTTTTAGTGTATTTACTTTGTTGTGTTACAAAAGCTAAGCAGATGCCTCTCACTCCCCACAAGTTGAAATGGCTTGTAAAATCAAAGCATCCATATGTTGAGCACAACCTTAGTGCAGTTGTCAGCATCATTAGGCATTCTCTCCAGAATGCTGACGCGTATGAAGATGCTGTCAAACTGTTAAATGAAAGACGTATAGTAAGTTTGCAGACTTCAGATAATGCTCAACATTTATCTTATGTTACTACTGGCTTTGCAAATCTGTTACACTTTCGTGGGATATTAAATTTGGACCGTGAATATGTTCCTATATATGTGTGTGTGAAGTTATTGTTGAGCGGAAAAAATGGGTATTAGTTGTTTAGAGATGTACAAAGTAAATTGATGTTAGCCGACCCCAAAATCTCAAATATACATCAAAGATATCTTGATGTATATTTGATATTTTATAAGAGTTAAAGAATAACATAATTGGTTATCGTATGACATTTCAATGACCCTTTTTTGTTTTTACAAACATTTTTCTTCATCAAGGGCTTAAGCTATACAGTATATATTAGTAAATCAATCCTCTAAAACCCATTCATCGTCAACGCCTTCCGAAATGTAAAAGCTAATTAGTAACCACCTCAATGTAAAAGCTAATTAGTAAAAAAATTGTTTCACCCTTTCCTCCCCTCCAAAATTCTCCAACAAACAAGGGCTAGAATATGGATTATTCTTGTCTATTACCTCACGCTGAGATCTGTCCGTGTAGAAAACGATGACATTGAGTTCAATCAGAAAACTGTTCTTCAAACTATGATATGCTTACAATCTGGAAAGTGAAAACTGAAAACAATAAACAATGAGTCAATAGGCTAGAAGTCACATACTAACTACTAACCTAGTTTGGACAAGTGGTGAAAGATTAGCTGTGTGCCTGTGCAAGTCTGTCCTATAAATACAAGAATGACTTTCTCACTTTAGTTTCAGGAATAATTTATGGCTGTTCAAGACATTAAGGTACATGTTTACAGGCATATGAAGAAAATGCTCAGGCTGCTGCTACTGAAGAGGCAGAAGACTTTACACCTGAATCTCCTGAACTAGTGAAAATGGAGACAGAAGCAGAAGTTAATAATATCAGTAACAATGAAGTTAGCCCTACTTCAAGGGACAACAAAACTGGGGATAAACCCGAAAATGGGAGTGTGGAAGTTGCTACATCCAAACAGGTCAATCTCGACGGAAGCACATTTTTGGCCATTAGGCTCTCTGTTCTCCAAATTTGTCCTTGCCTAATCTGTGTTCTTGCTCCTCAGACAGAAGTAGTTGTTCCTGCTCCAAGGAAGCCAAGCCGTGGTCTTGGGATGTTTCTCGGTGGCTCAGCCAAGAGGAAGTTGGACTCTGATAGAAGAGTAAGTTGTGAAAAATAAATACTCCATCCGTCTCATTTTTGTAAGATACAATTTCCTATCTGTGCTCCTCTAAATCTTTACTTTCGCATTTTATTCTTCCTTTGGGCGTATACAGTTTTATCTTTCTTTTAGAAGGTTACAATTGTAAACTTACAGCTATATATGTATCTTACATTTTGGGAGGGCGGAAACTTATATAATTTAATGCTATTTCTTTATCTATTTTTTCCAGACTGGTCCTGAAAATAATTTGATGCGGAAAATGTTTTGAAAGAAAATAAGTTGTTCTTTATGTACTTAATTCCTTTTTTTCTCACTCTTCTTCCCCTTTTTTGTGATAATTATCAGGATGAAATGAAATTGGAGCAGATAAAGTCTTCTTTGAATCTCAGGTTCAACACATTTGCCGATAGCAATGAACTGTCTCGACATGCTTTGCTAGAAGAACCACCTGTTTTGCCTTTAAAAAGCTCACATCACAGTGAGCCTGTTTCTGACCCAGCTTCTACCGCTGCCCATTTGGATGATATTATACCTTTGGTTGTTGATGATGATGACATTGAAGAACCAGTAAACGAAGCAGTAGATGAAGGCTCCAAAGCTGCTGATAAATATTCACTGCCAGTCACAACCTCACAAATAGGAGAGATTATAGAAGTGGATGATGACAGTGATGATGCTGCTGCTGCCGCTGAGGGAGAACTACAAAATGGTGATATGGAAACTGCTTCTAATGCGGTTCACGAGAAGCCACCTCATATCTTTGATGGTGTTGGAAAGGAGGGGGAGGATGTCCCAGCTGTCTCGCTCTCTGAACTCTCTTCTAATTTCCAGAAGTGCTTCCAGTCTATTGAAGATTCACGGGCTGCCAAGCTAGACGAGAAATCCAAGGGCAAATTGCAGGTCGAGCCATTCGACTATGACGAGGCAAGGAAGGAAGTTAGTTTTGGGGAGGATAGTAGCAAGGCGGTGGGTGAGAAATCCAATAATAAGAAGAAGAGTTCAGTCCAACCTATCAAGAGTGAACTGACAAATGAGTTTCAGCCAGGGAAACGACGCCAAGCTTTTCCTGCTTCTGGAAACCGTAGCTATACATTCCGTTAGCAGATTGCGGGGTTAGGGTCTTTCAGCCTTGCGGATCTCTCAAATGGTAGAAGAGAAATCCGAAAGACTGCAAACTGTATCTATGAAGTTGAAAACATGTAGTATGGAATACTTGGATGTATGAAAGATATTATGATGCAATAATATTACAAAAAAAATAATCCTCCCATCCTTAAAGGGTGTGGCATTTTACTTCTGTGATCAACTTGATTTCCTTTTATTTGCTTATGAAATTTTGTATTGAACTTTAATTATATTTGAATGTCTTTTTGGGACTTGATATAGCTTATAGTGTAGTTCTTAGATATGTAAATTTCAAATGTAAATGACTTGCAAAAAAATTGGGATAAAGCCAGAGTTAACATTTACCTGTATTTTTGTTATTAAAACCTCCCCGATTTCATCGGGGACAATCTTGGCTTCTCAAGAGCCCAGCCAAAACTATTGACAGAAGTGAGTAGTTTGAATAATTCATTGGTTTCCCAACGCTTATTTATAGACTTATGAATAAATTTAATCGTTCGTCTTTAGTGTCCTTGAGTTTCTAGTGCAGCTCTTGTGAGAAAACTGAGAATCGATTGAGCAATGAGCCGTGAATAAGCGTTGATTGTGTGACAAACTGACAACTCAAGCTACCTCTGAATTTTTGAGGATCATTATTTAATACAATAATCTCAAATTCACATTCTTAAAGGTATGTTCATGTAATGTAATGTACCCAATTTGGTTATTTTTGTGCATATTCATTCATTTTGAGTTTTAATGTTAGGACTATCGGCTAATATTTCTTTTTGAGTTTTAATCTCAAATTCACATTCTTAAAAGCTCATAGATGGAGGAAAGGAATGATGGTTCAATCACGGCCATCCCTGGGATAATGTATCTCTGGAAGAATGGAAGAAAAAAATTGTGAAGGTGGAAATGTGGGGAGATGAAGAAGTTGAAGGGAGAAAATGAAGAAATAGAGAGTTAATGAAATGAATGGTTTGTATATGGCCGGAAGTTAACTAGGTTTTGATTAAAGTTTTTTGATTTGAAGATTAAAAACGGACGGTCGAAAAGCAAAATTACATTAGTTATTGTCTCTAAAAGGGGCGTGGCGTAGTCACAAGCATAAGTTAGATCGAGTACAAAAGAATTTTTCAAATAATTTTTCACATAAGTTTTTACGTATAAAATATAAGTTTTTATTTTTTTTCAAACTAGTATTGTACCCGTGCGATGCACGAGACAAAGGTTTTTTTGTGTAATGCATACGATATGAGAAGTATAATACATAATGAAATATGACTTCAAGATGTATTTAGAGCTTGTATGGTAACAATTAATTTTTACTATCTATTGAGCTTTTGTCAAACACATGAATTTTGATCCCACACGTTGGATTGTGTAATAATAAAAAATAAGTAAAATTGAAATTACCTTTCATGCTGAATTATTGACTCAAATTGCTGAAGTGAGACTATATTCAAACTACAACGTAATTCTTTCTTTATTTTCATAATATTCTCTCTATTTCATTAATAAATTATTTTTAAATGCTTCATACGTTCTCAAATAAACTTCACACTTTGAATTTACGATTTTTAAGAAAGTGAGGTTTTTTCTTTTGACTTTACCATCATACTCCCACAAAAAAGTAGATTAAGTGTAGTGAGTGAGAAAAATGGTGTAAAGTAAATAATAAAATAAATGTATAAGAGTAACTTTATATTAAGAAGTTATCAAAAATAAAAGTGTAAACTTAATCTTGCACTTGTCCAAAATGAAAAATGTGAAATTTATTTGGATTGATATGTTTTTTCAGGATTGAACAGATTCATTGAACCAATTATTAATTTTAGGGAAATTTTCCAAAATAGGAGTAAACGGAGTTTGCAAATCCAAAATAGGACTACTACGTTTTTATTCCCGAAATAGGACTAACATGGTAGTATTAATTATAACTAATAACAATATATTTCAATTATGGCAGTATTTTTCATACATGGCAGTAACAACTCCTATTTCGGAAAGAAAAATACAGTAGTCATATTTTGGAATTGCAAACCTCATTTACTCCTATTTTTTGTAATTTCCTTAATTTTAATGTTACCAAATATGCTCTTAGTGTAAGTAGATCGAAGTACATGTTTAATACTTTAATACAATAAAAAATGAAAAAAATATTATGGAATCACAGGAGTATAAAAACTTAAACAAAATATCTCCCTAGACATTTTGAAAAATTGTAAACATGGATTGTGGAATTAGAAATTACTCGAAATAAGACTAAAACTATGACAAAAACTCAAAATAGGACTTACTTTGTTTTTCTTTTCAAAATAGGACCATATTAGTCCTATTGGAAACATACCTATTTTTTTATTCCATTCTTACCCTTCCTTTAAATATGAGTTAATTAGATGTTTAATTCATAATAAATTCGAAAAAAATTCTAAAATTCGTAGAAAAATAATTAAAAAATTTATAAAATATTTATAAAATAAAAAATTAAAAAACAAATTTAATTTTTTTTAAAAAATTAATAAAAAATAGTAAAACTCCATAAAAAAAATGGATGCCTTTCCCACCGCCTGTACTACCTCCCTGTACCACCATCTCCGGCCAGTGAAAAAATGTCATTTTCCCTAAAAACTACCATTTTCCCCCTGAAAAATGCAAAAAAATGTGGCATATTTCTCTTTGAGAATGCGAACATTTTCATTGTTTTCTACCATAAATTTGGCATTCATAATGAACTTGGCATTTGTTCCCCTGGTGACTGGAGATGGTGGTGCAGAGGCAGCGGAGGCGGCGATGAATTTTATTTTATTTTTTTGAGTTTTTTTTAATTTTTTTATTTGTTGAAAATAAATAAATGAACAAATTATTATTATGGAAATATTTCTATTAATTTTTTAGTAGTTTTTAAGAATTTTTATTATTTTTTATTATTTTATAAAACATTTCAATAGCTATAAGGGTATATTTGTCCAAAACACACATAATTAGTCCTATGAAAACATAGTTTATTTGTTAATCCTATTTTCATAATTAACCCTTGGGGAATCACATGAGTCACCATGTTGCTTATCGGCCCATATGACGCAGCTTCAACTTGTCACTCACATCCGTATATATAATTTAGAGATTCCTCCCCATTCCGTCTGGCCTCCTTCTAGTCGGAGTAGCCGCTGACAGTGTCCCAATCCGTTCGAGTGTTGCTGTCATAACCGTTCAATTTTGATTTTGAAAAACTCAAGAGTCAAGCCATCCTTCCAATCGACAACTATGAATCATTTGATGCCCTCAAGGGCCAACAACAATCCAAGAAGGGAATGTCGAAGAGGACCGTCTTCGCAGCTCATCTGAGACAGCTGGTAACTGTGGTTTCTTTTATTTAGGTTCACCCACGAGGATTAGATTGTCTTAAACCAAAGAACTAATCTCTTTTTTTGTTAGCTTCTTAGATTTGATCTCAGATCTAATTGACTGAGATGTTTTTATTCGTTTCCTTTCTCTATTTTTCTCAAATTACAATCTGATATATATTGGTGAATATTTTAAATTTAGTTTAAATTTCCAAAATTTCAATGTGTTGCTTATTTGGATTATCTTTTCGGTGTTTATTGTATGTGTCATTCTAACACATAGGTGTTTGCACGGGCGCTGATAAAATGTTAGTATGGTGGTAAAATATACTTCATATCATTTTTAATATATATTCTAAATATTTAATGAATTGATATGAAATCCAAGTCCAGTACACTATATTTAATTTTACCTTCTCTTCCATGTTAGTAGTTTCATTCTGTGTTTTATAAAGTACGTAGTATATGAAGTTCATTATATTAAACTTACGGTGTAAACAACTTGCTGCCTTGCTTTTTTTTATCAAATGTCATTTGTTTAACCAAGCAGCCTTAGTGCAAATCTACATTTTTATTACTTGTCATCCGATAATTTAGGGCAGTTAAATGCATCTATGCAGAAAATTCTTTTTTAGGTAGTGGCTTAGTCATGCTTTGTAACTCTTGTTGCACTCTATTTGCTTCTGCATCGCATGTGTTGATTTTTTTTAAACTTTGTGTTGGCTAGCCCTTGCCAATGTTGTGGTACTTGGTTGCCATAAACTTGTATGGTGCTATTGTGTGTGCGCGCGCATATATATACACATATATGTGTACTCAAAATTTAAAATAAAGACAGGACTCCAGAGTCCAGAGTAGTTGAGTTGATGTACCTTGGTGCCTTACATAATGTAATCACTATATTATTATACTGTAATATCTAAATACTATCTAGGTGCATATTCCTTATGTGATTTTGAAAATTTCTATTTGTCATTTAAATTTTCAGTATTTGTTAGGTTGCTTGTTTTTGAGTCGTTATTAATACTTCATTTCAATGGTCAATTGAGGTATATATATAAATCTTGAAGCAAAGATCATTATTTTCAGCACTTGGGATGAGAGAGTGGCTATATCTCTTTATAGGTGATTATTTTATATGGCATCCAAATTATAAGAACTTTAGGTTATGTATTCTATGTTAGTTGTGTTCAGGTTCGAGTAAAAAAGGAAAAATCTAGAAATATAATAAGTAAGTAATCATTTCACAATGTATTTTACCTCCATGGAGTAATAAACTCAATTGCGTGTGAATTTTAGTTATTGAATTATGATTTCGAAGACAATTCAACTGATTGCATGAACTTTGTATCAACATTTCAAATTCAATTTGAGTTTTGACATCCATTTCTTTAATTAAATTCATTTTTCAGATGCAATTTAAATAATTACTATGTAAATAATTTCACACATGTGGTATGTACTCTTTCCACATGGTAGTTAACACGCCTTGGGTATTATATGTGTAACACCGACCCCGAGCATTTTTACTTTTAGTAAATTATGTAATAAACCTTGAAAGATAATTTATGAATTTGCGTAATTGTAAATTTTTATTATTTCTTTTACGTGAATAGTAAATTGCACGTGGGGCCCACAACGGGAACGGGGACCGCTCGATAATTCCCGAACCACATATTATATTCATCTTGGTCTAGATAATATGTATATGGTGGTGGATATTTTATTTGGGCCATAAGGAAGGTATGAAGTTGACGGGTTGGTCAAACGGGACCCCATTACCGGTATTGGCAAATTAACGGATAACAGCCCGAAATGAGTTTCGGAGGCTCCTAAATTAATGTTGGGGAATGTACATCGTTTCTAAAAGCCCATAATTATTAGGAACACGTGATATATTTTATCCGGCCCGATAAAATAAAATATGACTAAAACAGTCTGAGAAATACAACTTTCGGGGCCGATTATACATACCGGAACATAATGGGATGACCTCCCACATGAGTGGGGGCCACCCCACG